TGTTGTTGTTATCTCTAGGTCGTATTTTAGTGGTTGTTTGCACAACTTGTAGGTCTTTACTATATATTGTACATTGCAGATTATAAGTAGTAGATTTATTATTAGCTCATTAGTAATCATTGAGACTATTCAGAGAGAATTTCTCATTTAGTTTCCATTTTGATGTCTCCTTGAATATATTTGTTCATGTCACTACCCTGCTTAAAAACCTTAAAGACTTCTTGGCTTGGTATTCAAGGTACTTTGCAGTCTGTCCCCTATTTACATTTCTAATTTTGTCTCTTAGTACTCCTCTATTTTTTTCTATAAGCCCAAGCATAGCCAGCTTCTTTTTATACCCTAAAACCCTACTGATCTTTTGTGACTTTATTCACACTAATTCTCCAGCCTAGAATACTTTCAAATTCATACCTGCTGGTAAATTTTTCTTCTTCCTTTAAGATGCTGCTCAAGCACCAAGGCATCTCTGAGGCCTCCCTGATCATCATCTCTGTTCATTCCAACAAAATCAATAGCTTCTCTTCTCTGCTTTCATAGTCTTTTTAAATTACCTTTGTTGGCACTTATACTGTTTTGTAATCTTCTATTTATGTGTCTGTTTCCCTCACTGCCAAATCCCTTTAAAAAAAAAAAAGGCACATCTGTTGTCATTCTTTGTAGACCCAATCACAATGTTGGGTCTATCTGAAATTTGTCACAAGTGTTTGCTGAATTAGTGCATAAATAAATGATTACTAGGCACATTATAGAATTAGCCAAAGTTCTTCCTTAGGGAGAACTTTATATATACACATACCAAACACTTACTCATTCACTCACATAACCCTTGGAACTTACCCAGGAAGGGGGCCTCTCTAGGATTAGTTCAGGACCATTGCCATAGTCTATGATGGTTACACTGGCCTTCTTTCCAACCCACCTGGAAAAACTCAACTTTCTGTCTTCTCTTTAAATCATTTAAATCACAGATTTCTAAGGAAGTCTTTGCCTTGGCAATTTCTCTTCTCTCCCCATGGACTATCTTTCTTTGTCTAACTGAAAGTTTGTCTTTACCCAAACTATGATATGGGGAGACAAAAGATGAATTAATCAAACCAAGCCCCCTGGGGAAGCTGAAGAGAGCAGGAATTCCTGGAGTGCAGGGAAGACAGCTTTCCCATGGTGCCTAGTGTGGTGGTGTTGACCTCCTGGCCTTCCAGGAACTGTCATTTAGGATTACTACTGCTTGTAATTAAAGACACTTAGGTCAGCCTAAAAGCAGTAGTTTTTAGGTACATAGCTTTCGGTCTGGGCTTCTTCAAACTGCTTTCCATGAGGAGCTATATCGTGAACAGTGAACTCACAAATGATTCCTCTGCTCTTAAAAGTAAAAGAGGCTGCCTCATAGGCAGGGCCTCTTTTGTGAGGCATTCCCTAGGACAATTCTGGATTCTGACACAGAACACTGGCTATTTCAGAATGAAGTGCTTTTTTTTCAAACTTGGTATTATTTTAAAAAAATGAGTGAAACAGTATGAAGTCACACTTGAAATGTAGATTTTAATTATAACAGAAGGTGGATTTTAGGCTTCAACTATTCAGACTAATAGCACACCTTTTGAAAACAATTTTGTAGTATTCTACAGAATTTTCCTTATGTGTTTAAAAAAGCTTACATAATATACAATCTTCATTTTAAAACTTCTGAATTTATACACACATACCCAGTGGTCTGTATTTCTACTGCTGCAATAATAATTCCTTAACCATTTTGTTTCATGAAGCAAAGTTTAGGGAAGCTAAGGAATACCTTCTAAATATTCTTTTGACTTTGTGCCCTAAATATGTTCTTAAAATTCTGACTCTGATCAGATATCGGGTCTGGTTTAAAAGTGGTTTCAAACCTTGGTTTCCCTGGATAAGTCTCTTCTTCTCAAATCTTGGTTTCATTGATATAACAGTCCTAGTTTAGGTCAGGACGTCCCCATTCATTTTTCACTTGACTTTCCTTGGAAGAGAGGAGAGGAGGCAAGAAAAAGGGCTGCATGCCTGCCTTGGAGCATTCCTATTTTCCATTTCCTAATTCACATGTTTATACTTTGTACTGTACTGTGCTTGAATTTCTAAATTTATGGGAACATTTGTTGTGAGTCCTAGATATCTGCTGTGTAATTAATTCACTGTCAGTGTCCTGTAGACCGTATGTACTATGGGAGAAAGGGGCAAGGTCAATATAGGGTAGTTGGTGGGGTGGGACCTGAGTCTGTCCCTTGGAAAAGAGTAGAATTTAGTAAGACAGAAGAGAATAGGAAGGATATGTTAAGACTGAGGTATGGAATGAGAGAGAGAGAGATGGGGCCTATGTAAGACATGTCTGGGAGAATCAGTTGGTATGGAGTAGAAGATCTACGTAATACCAAGGCCTAAAAATCCACCATGATTTCTATCAGTCCATTGGAGAGTAAAACTTCCCATTCACAATGAAATACATCTTTTAAATGAATAAATAAACGGAAGCTGACTATTTGGTTTTGCTAGAGGTGGAGAGAAAGCTATGACAGTAAAAGCAGATCTCAAATGTTAATCACCTGTGGCATAGTAGTTAACTTAGAATAAGATTGAAATGTTTTTGTATCTGACATTCTCCACAAGCCTGTCTCCTTTTATGGGTACGCATGCAAGTATATAAATTGCTGAATCCATGTCAGTTGTAAAGTAATGGCACTGAGGGCATCATAAATTACCATGGTGATCCTCAGGAGAAGACACTGGCATATCTGAATGAGTGTTTCACGTCCAGAGTAATGTATGCCTTCATCTGGCCCAGCAGTCAGCATATTGCCCTGTGTTGATGGATATTGTCAGCTGGAAGCTACACTACATTTCACTGCACAATAAACATGGCTGTCAAACCCATATAAAGTGAAATCAATTTCTCCTGTATGGTCAGTGCATTTTAAATGAAATTAATGTACTGTGGGTATGGTGGCAAAAAGGTAGCAGATTAGTTACACGTCTTGGGATCTGAGACTTTTCAGGTAAGCGATCATTCTGTCTAGTAGGCCTAAAAGAAGGGATGTTTATAAAATATCGTATTTTTGCATGGCCTTCAAATAGTGGCCCCTCTGCCCTCTTTCATGTTTAGAAAAGAATTGATAATATTAGCCAGTTGGGCCCTTTTATCCTGTCTTTTGTTTGCTATAAATGATGATCATATTTGTCAAATAATAGTGTACTTTAATGCTCTAATTTATTACTAGCTCTGACACTTTCTACTTAATCAAGGTATCTAGAAATAGAGTAGAAGGGCCAGAGATTGATTGGGTCATGTTGTTCCTGTATAATCACTACACTGAGCTGAAAGGCTTTACTTTTTCCAGAAAGTGGAAATGTTGGTTTTAATGTATATTTTGCTTCTAAACTTTTGGGAGTAGGCTTTCCTGTTTATGCAGCAGAAACCCTGACTGAGGCCATCAGTCCAAACACTTTACATTTAGCTATAGAAGTTTTTCAGTCTATAGGGGGATATTTAGTAGATGCCACGTTGCAAAGCATACTTCCGTGTGTCATGCTGGTAGGATTCATGAAAAGAAGCAAGAGCTATGTTCATTCGTTTATTCATTCATTTATCCAGTCATTCATTAATTTAACATAGTTTACTAATTACAACTCTATATGCCAAGTGCTTACCTAGAACCTAGGGATACCACAGTGAACAAGAGCCAGTTCTTGCCATATTCTCAAGGAGATTTCAATCTAGTATGTTACTAGCTAGAGACACCTCTTCAGAAATGATAAAATATCAGAGATTTAGACAGAGTTTCATAGGGGAATGTTTAAGAACTACTCTTAAGCAGCAGAAAAACGTATCAGGACCCTTGAAATAAATGCCTTTTAGTCTACTAGTTTGCATAGAAGTTGAAAACCAATCTTTTACTTAATAAATATTTATTGAATATCTATTATGTGGGAAATCCTGGGGATACAAGAGTGAGTACAACATAAACACCAACTTCAGGGGTTTCATATTCCTGGGGATGGAGTGGAAAGATTAGAGAGAGATGGTCACATAAACAAGTAATTACTTTGGAGCATGTAGCATAAAAGAAAGAGGAATGAAAGCAGCCTGGGGAACATCATTGCAAATGCTGTTCCTATGGCCTGAATTACCCTTCCCATCTGTCTTTACAGCCCTCCCCTATTCATGTGATGATCTTTATTCATCCTCCACGACGGAGCTTAGACATTGCCTCTCCTAAGAGGCATTAGCTGACTGTCTTGTCGGAATGTCCTCTTGGCGCTCTGCTTTACTTCAGTATCACAACACTGATCGTACACTCTGTGATAATTGCCTGGGGTCTGTACCCCCTCTGATCTGTGTGCTCCCTAAAAGCAAGGTCCGTTTTGTTTGCTTTTGCATCCCCAACCCCTGGCATAATGCCTCACTCATAGTAATTGCTCAATTAATATTTTGTATTGAATTAATTAATTCGTGAAACATACCACATTCGAATAGGCCTTGAAGGATGAATGGGACTTGGTGGGATTTCATGAAGGAGGAGGAAAAGGGGATTCCAGGCAGTGAGAGGGGCACTGGACAAGGCGTAATATTGCGTGAGAGAATGATATTTGAGGTAAAGAGATAGTTTGAAGTGCTGCAATTTTTGGCAAATGAGGCTAAAATGATAGGTGGGAGCCTGCTTTTGAAGGGAGGAATCACAACCGGAAAGGTTACTGTAAAATAAAGCCAGTCATTGCTAAATCACCACCTGCATTTTTATTGTAGTAAAAATGTACTAGGTGTATAAAAACATACAAAATTAATTCTGCCTGGTGTGTCTTTGAGGCCTCCATCAGAAGGGCCTATAGAATTGTCATTTGAAACAGTCTTCTTCCAAGAGGTCACTTAAAAAGACGGGAAGGGCCTAGGGAAAACCCCTGAACCAGGCGGCAAGCTGTGTTACCTTACTCAGATAATAATGCTTTGCACCCGTCTTGTTCTTCCTGCCCTGACATTACAGGAAGTAAAGCAATGAATGGCTCTGCAGCTAAACTACAGCAGTATTATTGTTGGCCAACAGGAGGCGCCACTGTGGCTGAAGCGCGAGTCTACAGGGATGCCCGCAGCCGGGCCAGCAGCGAGCCACACATCAAGCGACCAATGAATGCTTTCATGGTTTGGGCGAAGGATGAGAGGAGGAAAATCCTTCAGGCCTTCCCCGACATGCATAACTCCAACATTAGCAAAATCTTAGGTGAGTGCAGTCTCTGATGCTGACCTTCTACCCCCCGAGTGCCCCGAGAGTGGAAAACAGGGGCGTCACCTGACACCTCAGGGAGACTGTGGTTTGCAGACATTAGATGTGGCTCAGCAAGGTGCCTCAGGAGTCTTCGTCATCATCTCTGTGTCCATTTAGGTTTAGGGGTTACACATCCACTGGCGCCAGGGAAGGACTGACTAAAAACTTACTGTACAGTCTGTTATATACCGTGACTGTGGCCACTTGGAGAGGTCACTGCTAAACAGGAACCATGGAGACAAGCTTTATCTCCTCTTACTCAGCCTTCTTCAATCCGTAAGTTGCTGCGAAACCTCAGAAACGTGCACAGATCCTACAGTTTTCTGCTTCAGGGTTCTTGGGTTCCTGTGTCCCTCTGAAAGACTCATCAGGACCTGGGGTGAGCCCCCAAATAGTGTGAAATTCATGAAGTGTTGAACAGTGCCTCAAATGATAACTTTAAAACTTGTAAAATGAAACTGCATTTACTTTAATAAGATATGACTAGTTCGGATTTCAGAGCAGAGACTTGAACACACAGACCACAGGGCAGAGGCCCATTTTGTGGTCAATTGCCAGGGTGATTCTCCTGCTTCTCAGGATTAAACTCAAGCCTTATTCTGTGAGTGTAAAGCTTGCCTAGTGCAGATGATACAGTTTGGAATTATTGTGTTCAACATGTTGAACATATTTTATTCAATATGCAGCATTACAGTCAACATGTTTCCTCTTTAAAAAGAAAAAACACAGAAGGCACTGTTCTATTTAAGCTGTCATGATGTGACAAAATCTCAAAAGGAGCCGTTTAAGATGCTGAAAAACATTAGAGACTTAAACTGTGGTTTTCGTTTTTTAAATGTTTTGTTCAAAAGCAATAAATATTTAACCTTAGTAAATATCGGTGATCTGGACATACACAAATACACATGTTTTGTCACTGTATAAATAATTTAACTTGATTCAGAGACATGGGGAGGCAGTAACCTCAAAGAAAATTTAAAACATACATAAGATCAAATAGTGGTGAAATGTTAAAAAAATAAGTTTTTCCCTTTTGATTTTTGAATTTCAAGATGGATACAAATGTCATTACAATTAAGTGGGGTGTTATTTTTAGGATTTCTGAGATATGTGCAGGGATAGTGTTATTCCTTTTCAACTTAAGTACCTTTCAAACCAAAATGTTCCTCATGGATATATTAATTTTTTTTCTAGTTAATAGACATTTAAAAGAAAATCAGTGTTTCTCTGTCCTTGAAGTTTGATACCTAACTTTGGAATTTTCTTTTTTTTCTCTTTCTTTTTTCTTTCTTTCTTTCTTTCTTTCTTTCTTTCTTTCTTTCTTTCTTTCTTTCTTTCTTTCTTTCTTTTCTTTCTTTCTTTCTTTTCTTTTTTTTTTTGCCATTTTAATAGCAGCATGAGTAGGCTCTTAGATGGGCACAGAACCTCTCTGTTTCCATTTTGGCAGCTGTGGGGAATCTATATTATTGGTGTGCATTCTGTGAGAAAAAGTTATTAACATTGTAAGTGTATTCGTGAAAATATACACTTTAAAGCACAAGCACTTCAAGAGCACCAAGAATCCCCTGTTAACTGGGGCTTTAAGCTACTGGGAGTCAGCAGAACCCAGAGAAGCTGATCTGCATAGACTGTCTACACAACTTTTGCACAACAATCAGGAAAGAACAGGGATGGATGTGCTATTAAAGCAGACCAGGATATTGCTGGCTACAGAGAATATTTGTACAACTTTCCATTTGTTTACGTATGAAAAATCTCCACTGAAGAATAGCTAACATCCAGTCAGCACAGCTGTTACCGCTTTATTCACCAGCAAGACACAAAAATGCAATTTGATACATGTAAAAAAACACATCCCTTCTTCGTCAAGTGTTTAGATAATTCTTTATAAACAATATTAGAGAAGTGAATACTTTTCCTTCTTCCTCTATAAACCACATTAAAAATTTTTGTGCTGTCATTGGTACAGCTTTGAATGAACATTTATAGTACTTGAAAATGGTATATAGAATTCCAACTGTACCTTCCGGTTTGAAAGCTAGAACTTCTTAGGTAGGGTTTAGGCTTTTTAATTACCCTGGGCCAGGGGAGACGGTGTGCACAGTGGGTTTTTATATATGGAAGGATATCAACATCTGCTGACATCTTATCACAGAGTAGCTTCCCTAAAGATGCTTGGACAAGGGTGGGAGATGTTTGACTCTTTGGAACCAGGAGAGCTTTTTCTGAGAATCCCATCTGCCTTGAGAGTATGCTTTGGAAGTTTAGGTTTTTCACCCTTTGAGAGACATAGACAGACAGATGGGGGAAGGACCTTGGCGTCAGGGGTGATCTATAAGCAATTGTTAAAACAATATACCTTTTGTAGCACCAGCTTGAAGTTATCGACAGAAATAATGTAATAAATGTATCACATGCAAAATTATTCTTTGCTCTTTACAACTATAAAAGACTACTTGGGAGGCTCAGTGGTATGTGGTGGTAGGAGCTACCCAGAGCACAGGTGAGTGATGCAGCGGGACGGTAAATACAGTATTTACCAGCAACATGTTGCCTTGACCACTTGGGTACTGAGGGCTGTTTTTATGTTTAGGGTCTCGCTGGAAATCCATGTCCAACCAAGAGAAGCAACCTTACTATGAAGAGCAGGCCCGGCTAAGCAAGATCCACTTAGAGAAGTACCCGAACTATAAATACAAACCTCGACCGAAGCGCACCTGCATTGTTGATGGCAAAAAGCTCCGGATCGGGGAGTATAAGCAACTCATGAGGTCTCGGAGGCAGGAGATGAGGCAGTTCTTTACTGTGGGGTGAGTGTTCCAGAATGTAGCCACCTGGGCTTTCCCTTCCCATTAGGAAACCGCAGGATGGCTACCGGCAGTGTGTTGGAAACCTTGGCTGTGGTGATCTTTGCAGTGTTACACACACACACACACACACACACACACACACACACACACACACACAGTCTTGCAGCCTGGCTCCTGCTCAACAGCTCAAAACAAACCTGGTCGCCCCTCTCCTTGTCTCCCGAACTAATCTAAGATGTTCCATGCCCACACACAAAGTTGCTGGTAGTTTATTTAAGCAGACATACAGGGAGAAAGAATAAAAACTAACTTCAGAAATCCCCAGAAGCTTTCCAGCTTCTCTGGGTGGTGCTTCTGATTCTAATCACAATAGTCTGCTTTTGTTGTGGGATCTCCCACAAGATAATTGGCCTTGACATTGGTTAGAAGACCTCATTTTTGGCATAAGATCCAGAACTCCTGTTGCAGTAAATTATTCTGTGGTGGAAGCAATAACAATGTGGATTTTCTTGCTTAAATCAGAAACTAGACATGTTTTTGATATCTTCAAGTCTGATTTCATGTCATTTTGTTTAAAAATTAGGTAATAGATTTCTGGTATAAATTTCGACTTGGCTGACTGGCTGTCTGCATTGAAAAGAGGCTCCTTGTAACCACAGCAGTTGGGATAAGTGGGGGTGCAGATGCCTGTAGGTTCCAGCATGCCCAGGCTGAGGAGCACAGGGGGTGACAAATCAGAGGACCTTTCTGGAGGCACTGGCCTGAGGCAGCTGCAATCTGATTGGGAAGATACTTGGAAGAGGCCTTGAGAGAGAGGAGTAAGGAAAAAGGCAGCTGGATTCACTGTTAACCAGGGGGAGCATGGATATTATATGGCAGGGAAATGGGACAGCTTCCCCTGCAGGTGAGGAAAAGATGTGCCTTAGAGCGAAAGTAAAGAGCTGTTTATTTTTAAGGGCACTAAAAAATAACATCGCGGAATAGAAACTTGGTTTCAGAAGCATATGTTTAGAAGCATAAAATTAATTTGGAATAGTAAATAGAATACGAAAAAAAAAAGGGCCGGTGAAAGCAGTCTGGGTCATGAATCTGTGCCCTACCCTAGAGAATTCTGGAGAGGAGCATGGGCTCCAGAGTTTGACTGCTGAGGTTCAAGCACTGGGCCACCCACCTGGGCAAGTTATTGAACTTCTCTGAGCCTCTGTTTCCTCATGTATGAAATGAAATAAATAATAGCACCTATCTCATACAATTGTGGGGAGGATTCAGTGAGGCAGTGCTTAGTACTTAGCTTTATAGTGTTTAGTACATTAGCAATAAAGGTGAGTTTTTGTCATTATCATTACTATTAAATATGGATTTACTATCACAATAAAACTATATTTTAGATCATAGCAGATAGTGAGTTTCTTTACACTGTGGCAGAACTTTTTCAAGGTAAAGGGAGGCTTAAGCTACTTCATTATTTGAGAATCACAGTCTATTAACAGATGAAGCCATGCCAAAATAGGTTTATCAAATTTTTCTGTATTATAAATGTTTGCATTTTTAAAAATAATGCTTTTAACACCAGAAGTACAATGCAGTATAAGTAGGCTATTTACTGGCTATTTAGACGATTTATGAAAAATACCAATTCACAGGGTGCTTTAAGAAGCATAGTCACATTAAACAAAATACACATTTATTTTAACTGTGTGATAAATGTCTTCTTTTAATTCTGCCTCTGAGACTGTATATAATCTCCTTTGAGCAGAGAATCAAAGTTTAAGTTTGAGATCCTTTGTGATTCCCACTCTTTTTTCATGTCATGTCTCTGTGTATCTAATGATACATAATGGGTGTCTTTTGCCATAATCTGGAAGGTTGTCAGAGGTACCATTTTAGTTCCCTGATGCTTATTTGAAAATATGAGATGCAGTAATTCTATCTGATTTATTTTCCCTTACCAGAGGGTGCACTGAAGTAGCTCTGGATCAAAATACCTCAACACATGACAATGCAGGTCAAATTTTAAAAAATTAAAACAACTCAACAGCATCTATCATTTATTGTCCACTATATCCTGTACACTAGACATTTTAGATATACAAATCACATAATCCTCTAAATAAATAATGACATGAAATCCTCTAAACAAGATAAATCAAGGTCCTGTGGCTGCCAAAAGGTGAGAAAGAATCAAGGTTTAATTCTGGGTCTCTGCCTCCATCATGCCTAACGACTGAGGAGTTGTCCTTACTCAAAATATGCCTCATCGCCCCATTCTGGCACAGTTATGTGTATGGCTGTGCTACTTGGAAAAGAGCTCCCAGGACCTTTGGTTGTGGTACATGATGGCATTAAAGGAGCTTTGAAATTTAGAGACTAAGGATCCTGTTCCTGGTAGTGTAGGGGGTCCTTTATGGAAGGGTCATTTTGGACTGTGGAGTGGGGTTACTGATGTGCAGGCAATGGCCAGAATGTCTTGTTCTTTAATTTTCAATGCTGAGTATTTCCCTCTGCCCAGCTTTGGTAATATTTGCAACCTAAAGCCAGGTATTATTTCTACTTAAGGATTAGTATTCTCTTTTAAGTAGTTATATTTGATAGATTATCAACTCCCTGGGGTTCATCTTTGGAAATTCATCTTCATTAGATGTGAGGTTATTACAAGAGGGAAAAGAAACAATTGACTTCTTGAGGGAATGGGGGTGAGATCAATTTTTATAGCTGATTTTGAAAAGACATGCATAACTTTCGAGCCAATAAAATTACATATATTGCTCAGCATTGTCATGCATTTTACTGATGATACAACTAAAAGTTCCGTGAGTTAGATTTATTTTTTCCACTCAGCTATTATGAAATAAATTTACCAGTAATATGAATCAGAGTAAGTTTAGCTCTAACCTTAGATTTAACCCTTTTGATCAACAGGTTAAGTATTAGAACGTTAAATAATTTCGATGAGTACTATTAATGTCGAAATGATATTCATTAGGGTACATGTAGCGACAACATTGTCTTTTCCCAAAGAATTCTGACCCAATGTACTTCTACTTATTTGAAGTTTATTCAGTAATTTACCTGTGAACTCATAGAGAATTACCAGGTACTATAAAATATCAAATCTTGGGCTACTTTTTAAATAATAATAATGGTAAATTATTGAATACTTACTATATACTATATACCGTGATGAGTGCTTTATACAGATTATTGCAAATACAACAAATTTACAAGATGAGCAGTATCATCCTCACTATAGGGTTGAAAAACACAGCGTTCAGAGATGTTAAGTAATTTGTCCAAGGCCCCACAGGTAGTAAACTGCAGAGCTGAGATTTAAACCAGGCTTGTGTGAATGTCAAGCATGTGACATTTCCACCCTTACACACATCCTTCACTTACAGCCTACAAACTCTTTAAAGGCTATGTAGTGCAGTGGTTATGGACCTGATTCTGGAGCCAGACTGTTCTGTCTCAAATACCAGATCTGCTTATTCCTGGCTCTAACAACTAATACACAGCAATCTTTATTCCTCTGAAGTCTCCACTTGCATTTGGGAAACTTATTTAAACTCTCTGTACCTCAATTTCCTCATAAATAGAATGGAGAGATGACCACAATACCTACAACATTGGGTCCTTCTGAAGATTGAATAGCTTCCTCTATCTAAAGTGCTTAGAACAACGTCTGGCACATAGGAAGCCCTGAATCAGAGCAAATATTATTATTCTAGAAAAATAATGCTACATGCCAAGCATGTATCTCACATTATAAAGAATTATATTCTAGTGCCTTATGCTAGAAGTGATTTGAACATTTGCCACTTTGATCTTAATCCGAAAGAGGTTGAATCACACCTATGACATACTTACAAATATAACTGATTAGAATAGGCTAGCCATACTATTTTCAGTATTGTCCTCCTGTAGAGAAAGCTGGATTAGGGTCTCTAACAGGCAATATAAAAAGATTATTATTTCCATTTCCTACTGCAGTATCAACTAACTACAAAGATGTACAATGTGTAGGCTTATCTCCTAATGAAACAGACTTCGTTGTCTTCATTTATAGATGCCGTAAAAGTCTGAAAGATCAGCAGACAAGGGGGATTTGCCAAATTAATACCTAGGGGTTCTTTTGTTTTTGTTTTGTTTTGTTTTGTTTTGTTTTTTGCAATTGACGAAGTTAGGCTATACTCCAGGAATATTCTTGTGATTTGGAAACCATGCAACACTGGTGAGCTCTATCAGGATCAGCTTTACCCTTTACTTGGGCTGGGAGGAGGGATTCTTAGCCATCTCTGCTCATTATCAGCTGCTTGTGTGTACTTTTACAAACATCTACAACTTTTGTTTTATGTGCGCATTCATTATTTGTAAAGCCCAATACTTTCCAGCTATTCATTCCTGTTTGTGAAATCTGCAGTGTTTGAATTTTGACTTTGCAATTGATCTGTAAAGGAAGGAAAAATGCTTTTTAGGAAAGTAATTTCCGATAGACAAAGCTTGAGCCTGCTGGCTGGTTTTTCCATTTTGTTAATTGATTGGTCCGTCAGTTGGTAAGGGCTTATTTGAAACCAGTGATGTGCCCAGCACTGTACTAAATTAATATAGGACATGAGGCATTAATCCTCTACACAATGAGCTTTCAGAGAGTGTTATAGTCAGAGAAACCAGACGCATACATAAACATATTAGCAAATAATAGTTTGTTATACATACATAGAGAGAGAGAGAGAGAGAATACATTACGTAGTGCTCCGCATAATGTATAGTGAAGTACTAATTTTGATTTTATAGACAAGAGCAAGTAAAGCTCAGGGGAGGAGAGATTACTATGCATTAGGGCTAACCATAGGTCATCCTCGAGGAAGGGGGCTTGAGGTTTGGTTAGGGTCAGGCTGGTGTTAGCAGGAAGAAGAGCAGGAACACATGGAGGGAAATGCAGAAATGTTCAATAGTTAAAAAAACAAGGCTAGCCTAGAGATTATTCCTGGCAGTAAAGAAAA